TTTGTATTTATCTCAAGGATTGGTCCATTTTCATTTGTTGTAGCTACTCATTTATTTGAATCTATTCCTACTGTCTTATTTTGAGCTTTGCATATATATCCTGCCTTTTCTATACCTTTTCCCCTTTTATTGCCTCCTTTTAGATTCTTTTTTTTTTTTTAAGATTTTTATTTATCTGAGAGAAAGAGAGAGAGAGATTGAGAGAACAAATGGGATGAAGGGCAGAGGGAGAAGCAGATTCCCTGCCGAGCAGGGAGCTGGATGCAGGACTCCATCTCAGGACTCTGGGATCATGACCTGAGCTTAAGGCAGATGCTTAACTGACTGAGCCACCCAGGAGCCCTGATTATTTTTCTGTATTCCTTTTTTATCCCTCTAGTAGTTTGGAATTTTCTATGCCCTGTTTATGTTCTTTTGGTGGCAATTCTGGAAATTTTAAAACCAATACCTAACTTGTCAAAGTTGAAAGGTAGTTACTACTATTACCTGCCTCTGAAATGATATAAGTACCCTGGGATGCTTTAATTAAGTCCAGTTAATTATATTTAATTGCTTTAAATGCACCTTCCCAATATATGTGCTATTGTCCAGTAAATTGGTCCTATCTTATTTTTAATCCCCCAATTACACACTGTTAAAATTTCGTATGACCAATGTTCATATAGATGTAACAACCTGTTTGTTATTTTCTTTGCTCAAAATTCCTCCTTGTATCTCGGCTTTTCTCTCAGGTAATATTTCCTTTTTTCTGCCTCAAGTTAATCCTTTAACATTTTGTTTCTTGTGGAACACCTGGGTGGCTCAGTCAATTAAGTGTCTGCCTTTGGCTCAGGTCATGATCCCCAGGGTCCCTGGGGTCACCGGGTTTGCTGGGATCAAGCCCCCTGTCGGTCTCCCTGCTCAGCGGGGAGTCTGCTTGTCCCTCTCCCTCTGCATCCCCACCTCTGCGCTCTCTCTTTCTCACTCAAATAGATTAATTAATTAAAAAAACCATTTTCCTTCTTGAGAAAAATAAAATTATTAAGAATAACAATAATTCTCTTGGTTTTCACTAGGATATCTTTGTCTGATCCTCATTCTCAAAAAATATGTTGTATGGGTCCCCAGTTGATAGTTATTTGCTTTAAGCACATTTGAAAATACTATTCTACTCTGTTTTGCCTTCCATTGTGACTGTTGAGAAGTTAGTGGTTAGTCTAATTGCCGTTCCTTTGTAGCTAAAAATGTCTTGGTGAGAAGCCTTTATAGCATATGGTTAAAGGTGTGGCCTCTAGAATCAAGACTGCCTGGATTTATTTATTTATTTATTTATTTATTTTTTAAGATTTTATTTTATTTATTTGACAGAGAGAGATCACAGTAGACAGAGACAGGCAGAGAGAGAGAGAAGCAGGCTCCCCACCGAGCAGAGAGCCCGATGCGGGACTCGATCCCAGGATCCGGAGATCATGACCCGAGCCGAAGGCAGCGGCTTAACCCACTGAGCCACCCAGGCGTCCCAAGACTGCCTGGATTTAAATCCCAGCTCCTTGGTCTGGTAGCTGTGAGACACTGGGCAAACTGATTAGCCTCTGAGTGCCTCTGCGTGCCTCAGTTTCCTCTTCTGTGAAAGGGGGACGATAATAGTAACAGTACCTAAGCTTATAGGGTTTTGGTGAGGATTAAATGAGCTAATGGAAAACATTCACAGGGGTGGGGGCACATTTTCAGTGCTATTAAAGTGTTAGCTGTCATTTTTTTCTCTTTATGTTCTTAGGATCTCCTCCTCACTGGTATTGGGCAATTTCACTCCGTGGTGCCAAGCTGTGGCTTTACTTTTTCTTCTCCTGTTTGAGATTCACTGAGCTTTTTGAATCTGTGAATTGTTCTTTTACCAATTCAGGAAAAGTCTAAGCCATATATCTTCAAATACTGCCTCTGTCCGGCTCTCTCTCCTCTCTCCTTCTGGAACTTCAGTTAGATTAATCAGTCCTTTTCACTCGTTCACCGTGTTTTCAAAGTCTCTGTGTTGTGAATACTCTGCATCATTTATTTATTTTTTAAAATATTTTATTTATTTATTTGACAGAGAGAGAGAGAGGGAACCCAAGCAGGGGGTAGTGGGAGAAGCAGGCTCTCTGCTGAGCAGGGAGCCCGATGTGGGGCTCGATCCCAGGATCCTTGGATCATGACCCAAGCCAAAGGCAGACGCCTAACGACTGAGCCACCCAGGCAGCCCCACTCCGGATTATTTAAAATGTTTTCTAGTTCTCCAGCGTATTCAGCTGTGTCTAATAGGCTATCAGACCTAGACATGGAGTCTTACATTTTCATGATTATCCCATTTTTATTTCCAGAAGTTGTGTTTGGTTCCCAACCAAATCTGCTTGGTTATTGTGTAATATCGTTCTGCCCTTCACTCACATGTTTGACTCCTTCTTTTGTGTTGTTAAACATGTTACCCATATTTTGTATTCTAGTCTGATAAATCCAGCATCTAAAGTCTTTGCTGGTCAGATTCGGCTGCCTTTTGTCTTGGAGCCTCATAAAGCTGATGGACAGGCCCCCAAGACAGGGGCCAGTTAGAAAGTTTTAAGCCATGGAGGGCTGTTCTTAATGTCTTTCCTGCTTTCCTTTGCCTCAATTTACTTTTCTGAAAGGCTGATTCATCCCCATGATTTAAAAAAAAAAAAGTGAGAAGCCTCTTTTCCAGCTCCCTGTCCCTTTCCTACTGCCAGCCTCTGCTTTTAGGTTTATGGATACTTCCAGAGATATTTTATGCAGTTTCAAGCAAATACAAATTTAAAAATTCTTTCTCTTTTAACGCAAATGAGAGCACACTACACTCATTGTTCTAAACTTGTTTTTTATTTTAAAAAATATGTTTCTGCTTATAAAAGAAATACATGCTCATTTTGAGTAACATAAGTACCCAAGTGTCTACAAGCGGAAACTGAAAGTCCCTTTGGAATTTCATTCCCCAGAGATAACCTGCCTTTTGCGTCTATAAATACATATTTACATAAATGGGCCTTATGCAACAATACTGCTCTGTAACCTAATTTTTTCCCTCCAAATAATACACCCTGACATCTTCCCATGAATCTTTCCGCATCTGTCAGTGCTGTCCACATAGCCCGCAGCTCCGTGCCTGGGCTTGGGGCAGACAGAAGTAGGCTCGAGCCCTAGCTCTGCTGCGTGGTTAGCTGCGGGACTTTTCAGATCCTCTCTGACCCTCAGTTTCCCTCATCTGGAAAATGGAGGTAGAAATGGTACGTACCACATGGTGTTGATCTGGGACCCGAAATAAGGTCTTGTGTGATGTGTTTCCTTCGGGGAAGCTACGTTATAAGCCTCTGATGAATGACGTATTGATTTTATTATGACTCACTCTACTCGGTGGCCGGTTAGAATCCACAGGATGATATGTGATGGTTAATTAATCATTCCCCCTTTGATGGACATTGGAGGGTACACATTTGTTTTTGTGTGGGGGCCTTTTGCCAATCCTGTGAACACTGAACTTCTTTTACCTTTGTGTGAGTGTCTTCATGTGAACTCCCTCCAAAGGGGTCACTGGTCCTCTGAATCCTAACCTCTGCCTCCTTTCTCTCCAAGGAGGAAATGGAAATGCCCCATGGGGTGAAGCACGTGTGTTACGTAGGTTTTTGCTTTTTCTTACTGCTCTTCTTCCTCCCTCTCTTCAGATCTGGGGGGATGAGAGGGGTCTTCCTAGAGGATCTAGAGTTAATTCTGCCCCACCCCCTCTCCTCCAGAGCATGGTAGCACTTCCCACCCCCGGTGGTGCTGAACCTCAGACTTCGTTTTCCCCGACCTTTGGAACCTGACCATTCATGAGAATTCAAAGATTAGATTTCAGACCCTGCTTTCACAGTAGTTCCCTGTGGTTTGCAATAAATCAAAAGAATCAAAACATACCTGAAAAGGGATAAAAGCCTCAAGTTAGAGAAAAGGGGTAAGTGAAGGGGAAATCTTGGTATGACAACCTCTCACCCTCTGCCAATCCTGGAAAGGTACGACTGTTGGACTCTAAGTTAATGCTGAGCTTCCTGGCAGCCAGGGCAAAAAGGGGGAGCAGGATAGAGTCTATAGTTCATCAAAAGACCAAAAACCACTCTACCTTGAAATGCTTATAAGCAGCTGGAGTGAGCGGGGAAGGTGAGAAGATGAGAATGAAGACCAGCTCCTCTCCTGGCATAGAGATCCTTGCAGTCCGCACACATTTCTTGAATGCTACTTCGTGTCAGTCCTGTTCTAGGCATTGGGAATATAGTGGGACCAAGACATCCATGCTCTCTGTCCTCCTGCTGCTTACAGCACAGCGAGGAGAGAGACAGTAAATGAGTGCAGAGGAAGTAAGCTCTCCAAATGGGCCTTCGATGCTGCTGCTCCTTGGTTCTTAGGTGCTTTCCTCCCCCTGCAGCTTGGTTCTGGAGCAGTGCTCCACCTCCTGGGGGCCCTCCGCCGTGGCCAGGCAGGGGAGCCGCAGCCCCCAAAGCTGGAGGTGCTGGAGGACATGATGGAGGTCAGCTTAGCATCGCCTGTCCAGAGGCCCAGAAGGAAGGAAAGGCCCGTGGTCCAAGGCCCTGCCAGGTGCCAGGTACAGAGCAAGTTCTTCACGTAGACAGTGTTCCATCATCCCTGCCCAGTGACGCTGTCACACCTGCCTCACAGAGATGTCACGGCCACCACACAGCTGACCTGCCCATGGTCACACTGAATGTGCTAGCCAGAGACAGGGTTAGACCCCCCACTTGCCTGCTGTCGGGGTCTGTGTGCTCTTTGTCCAGCGCTCCTGAATTTCTGAGCTTGACTGGAGCAAGGGAGGGGCTGAGCCTCCAGTGCATTTGGAGGGGGAGCAGTTGCTGACCTTTGTTCCTGGCTGACCAGCATGTTCTGCCTTCCGGAGGTCTTCTAGCCCCCTCCCTCTGGAGGGATGGCGTGGGCCCCTGGTGGCCTCTGACTTTTTCCGCTGTCGAAGCCATTCCTTTCTCTTTCAGGAGGGGGCTCCTGTGTGTGAGGCCTGTGCTGAGGGTCCTGGGATGAGTGCCTCTCTCCCCACCGGCCCCCTGCTGAAGCAGGCAGAAGCTGGGGAGGTGATAATGGGGGGAGCAGTGCCCCCTGGGGCTGGGAGGCTACTCCCAGAGTCATGGCCTCAGTTCCTCTCCCCTTCTGGGCAGTGCGGCCCAGTGGAGGCTGAAGAGGAGCCTGGCAAGCAGGATGGGGGAGAGGACTCAGGTGAGATGCCAGGGAGGGAGCCCTCCCAGGAGCTGCTTCTGGCCCCAGCCCCTGCTAGGACTCTTCTCTCTCTCGCTCCATCCCCCAGTCCCACTGCCCGCAGTCCTTCCACAGAGGGATGGGGCTGCTAGCTGACTGCGATTGGACCCAACGGCTCAGATTCCTAAAGTTGGGAGCCCCCAACCTTGCCTACGTGAACCCTTCAGCATTGAGTCACCCCCTGCCCCTTGCTCTTCAGGCATCCCATGGGGGTTTGTGACTCTTTCTCTCTCTTTCTCCCTCTCCCCCCATGCAGCTCAGCTTCAGCCCCAACAGGAGAAGCTGTCCCTGGATGTCGGGGTACGGGCTACAGTGGTCCATGCCTTACAGGAGGTGCTGCGGAATCGGTAAGGACTCGCTCCCCACTTCCCTGTCATCCCACGTCCTGAGAGCTGTCCTCGCCTCCCAGGCCCATGCTGCCATGTTCTCAGGGCTTCTAAGTGTGTGACGAACCCCATTTTGTAGCTGCGAGCTCATCTGCCTACACAGCAAGCTGGTGGAGAGGTGACATTTGAACCTGGGTCTCTCTGGCTGCAAGGTCACGCCCTCCCCTTAAGCCACTGCTGCTGCTCCTGTCCTCGTGGTTGCCACCCACAGCAAATGCTTTCAGACACAGTGAGACTGTGCATCTCTCGTTTACAATGGTGAGACCAAGGCTCAGAGAGGGTAGGACTTGGTAAAGGCCACGCAGCAAGTCAGTGGCAGAGTCCGGGTTACACTGAGGGCCAGGGCTCAGTCCCCTGCCTGGCTGCTTCCTTCCCTTTTCCCCCTGGCTTCCTCCAACCCAGTTCCACTGGCCAAGGATAAAGTGTGGGCCGATCAGTCAGGTCTTGCTTTGCCACTCATCATGAGGCCTTGGGCAAGCGCCTTATGTTCTCTGAGCCTTGCTCACCCCATCTGTAAATGGAGAATGAGAATATGGCTTGCTCGCAGAACTAGGGTGAGAATGAACGCATATACATAGGGAGATGCACAGAATAGGACCCACAGTTGGTCCAGACCCTGCCCCATACTTTCCCTGTCCGGCCGAGGGCCTAGATCACCTCGCAGGCTCAGAGCCGTGGCTCCCGCAGCCTCCAGGAGCTCCCAGATCTGGTGCTGAGTGAGGAGGCGGTGGAGTGCATAGCTGCGGGCATTGAGACAGCCCTCTTCGATCTGACACAAGCCACCAGCTGTCGCTACAAGACCAAGTACCGCAGCCTGCTGTTCAACCTGCGTGATCCCCGGAATCCGGTGCGCAGAGCTTGGGGGCGAGCCCAGACCCTCCCTTGGAGGCTCGAAGCCCAGGCAGGATATTGGGGTGGGGGGTGCTTCTGGAGCAGTGTGGTGCAGCCCCCATGTCTGCCCCTGCAGGACCTGTTTCTCAAAGTGGTTCGGGGAGAGGTCACCCCCCACAACCTGGTGCGGATGAGCTCCACGCAGCTGGCCCCCCAAGAGCTGGCCCGCTGGCGGGACCAGGAGGAGAAGAGGGTGAGCTGTTGGGTCAAGTCAAGATAGGTGATGTGGGGGGGATCTGGGGAGGGGAGGGCCCGAGGGTGCGCCGGGAGACAGAACAGAGTGGGGGGTGCAGTGAGATTCGGGGAGCACAAGACAGAGATAAAAAGGAGGAAATGGAAAGAAAGAGCAGGAAGACAAGGAAAGAGAGAGAGAGAGACCTCTCTACGAAAAACAATGGACAAGAGGCAAAAAGGAAAAGGCCTGGTGATGGAGAGCTTGGTGGAGTGTGGACCCTTGAGAGGTGTCATCTTCCATTTGCTTTTCTGCAGAGCTAGGCTGTGGGCAGGGGTGGGGGTACTGGGTGTGATGGTCTGGGGTCTAGAGTCCAGGATTGTCATCCGTCACTGATGGGGGTAGACCCCCCTGGGATGTCTCTGTTCCCACATCAGCGTCAAAAGCCCCAGAAAAGTCTTCCTGGTGCCTCACGCTGGAGGAGGGACCCCACAGCCCTCATGCTTCATAGTCACGTCCTCATACAACCCATGTCCATGAGTCTCTTCCTTCCTGGGGACGGCTCAGGGACAGGGAAGGTGTGGGCACTGAGCTAACTTTAGGGAATGCTTGCCGGTGGTCCCTGATGGAGAGGGGTCTGATCTCGGAGTAGGCTGGTGGGGCGGGGTGGGCTGCTGTGGCCTCCGTTCTGGAAGATACTAGGCTGATTAGATCCACCTGGAATCCACTAGGTGACTCTGTCCACTGTAGGCTGAGCCTCTGTCCAGGTACCTATGGGGGACCAGGAGCAGGACCAGCTACATATCTTGTGAGGGGCAGGGCCAAACAAAAATGTGTGGCCTTTTGCTCAAGAAGCAGTAAGAATTTCAAGATGGCGACAGCATGAAGCAAGAGGCTGTGTGAAGGGCCATGGCCATGTAAGCACAGGAGCCCTCAGCCGTGAGGCGAGCCCCGCCAGGGAGGACGAGACCTCCTCCAGGCTTCCAGGAAACATTTCAGATAAGATGACGTTGATTAACAATAAGAATGACAGGTAGCATTTACTGTGAGCCAGGCTCCAGCCAAGCATTCTACATTTGTCATTTAATTTAATGCCCTTAATTTAATTCCTCGAAAACAGATACATGGAGGCTCAGAGCAGTGAAGTGCTTGTCCAAAGCCACACTGCCTCGGGGGGTCTCTAGTCACGACCCAGCTGATGCTTCCGAGCCTGCACTCTTTCTACCGCACCGTGTTCTTCCCAAGCCAGAGGGTGGGGCACGGTCAGAGGCAGAATTGACTTGTGGGAGAAGATAAAGTCCAAGAAGGCTTGCTGGAGGAGGCAGGGCTCGAGTTTGGAAGGCGAATGAGTGAGCTCTGGAGCAGTAGGGCTGAGGGGGGAGGGCTTGTTAGGCATGGGGAACAGTGGAAGCAGAAGTGTGAAGGGAGAGGAAGAGGTGGCCCAGGAGGGGGTCCGAGGGAGAGGGGCGTCCCCGGGGGAAAGTGAACACCTGGGCTCCTGGTAGACTGGGACCCCCTGACCTGGCTGAGTTTGGGCTACTTGCCCCCCCCACCCCCACTGCCAGGGCCTGGAGATCATTGAGCAGCAACAGAAGGAGTCGTGCAGCCTCCCGGCCTTCAAACTGACCCACAAGGGTGAAGTAGAGATCCCGCGCGACATGGACCAGACGCTGACCCTGGAGGACCTGGTGGTAAGTGGCCGCCTGACCTGGCACTGGGGGCGGGGAGGGGGGGGTGGTCTGGTGCCCAGGGTCCCACTCCTCACCTTGGCAGCTGGGTGGCCTTGAGCAAGTTGCTGGGCCACTGTGAGTGCCAGGGTCTTCACTGTGAACAAGGGGATGGTTGTTGCCACAGGGGTCCAGCCGAACAGGGGGCAGGACTGAACCCCTGGGACTGGCCTGTCCTCACCTTCTCGGTGGTCCCCTCCTTCCGGCCTAATGCCAGGTCATCCCATGGGAGTGGGAATAAGTCTTATCACTGCTGCTTTCTCCAGCCCCAATCGTTCTTGCCAGATCTCTGGTTGGGAAGCAGGAGGGTCACACTGTTTGAGTCAGCGACTGTTTTTGGATATGAGGAACAGAGACCTACTCTCTTTGGTGGCAGGACTTTGGGGGGCTGGGGGCGCAGAACCACCCGAAGCCCAGGGCTGTCACTACACTTCCCTTGCATTGCTGGGGATCTGCTCCTTCCTCCCTGTTGCGCCCCCCCCCTTCTTGCACGTGGCCTGTCACCGTGGCTCAGCAGCCCTCAAATCAATGAACTCATCACCAGCTCAGCCTTCCGCAGATGATCAGAACTCCCCCTCGGCTTATTTCAGTCACTCCCGGGAGGCTGGTCTGGTTTGGCTTAGGTGTTCCGTGGCTCAGATGCTCACCTGCCTCTAATAAGCTCTGTGTCTGGGGTGGACGGCGTGGATGGACCCCGTGAGCCACGTGCTCTCAGTAAATGACAGTGAACGTGACAGACAAAAATCCCTGCTCCCTCCCGCTGCCTGCGTGTAAAGGGGTTCCCAGCAAAACCAATCTGTATTCCCCAAATAAGTGGCACCTAAGTGTAGAGGGAGGAACTAGAAAACCCAGAAAGGAGCCCTCACCGGGGAGAGAATGGCAGAGAAGCAGAGAGGGGAGTCACACGTAATAACATCTTCACTCCTCATCCAGCCCCACTGTATGCCCCTTTGACAAACAGTGCCTCGTTCAGATCTCACAGTGACTTAAGAGGTGGGTGATGCCAGTGTCCTGGATGAGGAACCCGAAGCCCTGTGCCCAGGGTCACTTAGTTGGTCTTGAGGGGAGGCTGTGATTTGAGGTGTGTGCCTTGGTGCTACTCTGGAGGTGGTTTATGAGGCCAGAGTGGAGCTTCTGAATCTTTCAAAATCTTCCTAAAGCTATGTTTAGTTTGTGTTTATTTTTTATTTTTTTTAAAGATTATATTTAATAGAGAGAGAGAGGGAGAGCGTCCCAAGCATCAGAGGGGAGGGGCAGAAGGAGAAGGAGGCTCCCGTCTGGTAGGGAGCCTGAGGTGGGGCTTGATCCCAGGACCCTGGGATCATGACCTGAGCTGAAGGCAGACCCTTAACTAACTGAGCCACCGAGGCATCCCTGTTTTGTAGTTAAAGCTATTTATGTTGTGAGGGAAAAAAGGTGATTTGGTAGTGAGCATCAAGTCTTAAAAATGTTCATTCTCAGGCTCCTGGATGGCTCAGTTGGCTGAGGTCACGATCCTGGAGTCCCGGAATCGAGTCCTGCATCAGGCTCCCTGCTCAGCAGCGGGTCGGGTTCTCCCTCTGAACTTCCCCCTCTCCTGCTCACTGGCTCTCATTCTCTCTCTCAAATAAATAAATAAAATCTTAAAAAAAAAAAAATAAAATGAGAAAAGAAAAAAGAAAAAAAATTGCTCATTCTCCCTGATTCTGCCATCTGCTTCTGAGAACTTGTCCTGAGGACAGAGATGAAAGCTTAGGAAAGTGCTCTCTGCATAAGGACGTCCTCAGTACTGTTTGTAATGATGAAACTCTGGGAATGACCCCACCATCCAGGAGTGGTGGTAATGCACATATGATGCCCCTCTCCACCCCCCCACCCCCATCCCCCCACTTACTCAGGTGCTGGGCAACACGGCAGGCATCTCTGCTGTAATTCAGGGATGAGATGAGGATACAGGCGGAATATATGATCCCAGCTATTTTACTCAAAGGAACCCCGCACCCTGTGTGTAGGAAATCTGCTACAAGGACAAGTGTCTCTGAGTGCTGGGGCCAGGGGTGACTTTTCAGTGATTTTCAAATTTTCTGTATTTTCCAAATTTTCTCCAACACCTTCAGTGTATCTCTGTAATAAAAGAATGTATTATGTGGAAAAATAAAACCTTATCCCCGAGGCTCCCTACGGATGGAGAGCTGCTGCCTTCTCTGACAACTTGCCAGCCCACTGCTCTCTCCTCCTGTGCTTCCTAGGTACCCATGGTGTCCATAGATGACAGCCCATCGGCCCTGGCAGCCACGTCGAAAGCCACCACAGAGCAGGACGAGGACACCACGGGGCAGCACGAGCACCACTTCCTGGACCCCAGCTGCCGCATCTGCCTGGGTTGGCGGGAGACACGGGCTGGGTGCAGGGGTGGTAGGCAGGCTGGGGCTGAGTGGGGGCTCAGCAGCAACAGGGATCCATGGCCTGGGGAGAAGGTGGCAGGGTGGGCCTATTTGTGTCCCGGGTCACCTTGAAAAGAAGCCAGTTCAAAGCCTGGCTCCAAAGCCCTAGGCTGGCTTCATCTAGCCGCCTGCCTGTCAGCCTCTGCTGCTCTTCTTTGTAGACTGGAAGCCCTCGTGTGAGCTGCCAAGCTCTTTCAAAGCTACTACAAGGATAGGGGACAGTATCTTCAAGAGAGCTCCAAGCCCAGCCCTCCCATCCTCTCCAGAGACGCCCCAAGCTAGGGAGAAGCCTCCCACACAGCTCCAGGACAGGTGTGGGGCTGGGACTGGGAGAGGTCAGAGGGGGCGGGGTGCCCACCTGGGGGGCAGAAGACACAGTATGGCCTCTTCTTTCTTTGTGGCCTGGGGCAAGTCCTGCCTCTTCTGTGGGTCTCAGTTTCCCCATCTGTTATGGAACCAGTCATCGCCACCTGCGGGTTCCCCCCACAAGGCCATGCTCTGACTAGTGTTCTAGCACCCACATAGGGAACACAGGGCCTTCTCTGAAAAGTAGGGAGATGGTGATGGATGGCCTGATAACCTGCTCTGTCTGGGCCTCTCTGTCCCTCTCTCTAGGCTCCAGATGCCTGCCGGGCCCACAAAGGCTCTGCCCAGCCAGCCGCCCTGGGAGGGAGCTTTGGACATGTTCTCCATCAAGCGGTTCAGGGCCAAGGCCCAGCTGGTGTCTGGAAACAGCTGTCGGCTCCTCACGGTACTCCGGCCCTGCTCGCCAGGGCCGTCCCCCTCACACACCGGGAGTCAGCTCCTCGCACTGCTTTCATTCTTTGATTCTCTTACTCCCTCGTTCTAGAACAAGGCATTGGCGCCTCTCTGGGCCTGGCCCTGTGCTGGGCACGGGACCAGTGAGACACCAGCCCCACTCCTGCGGAGATGCACAGGGGTCAAGGACTCCCTGTGACTGAAGGCATCATGCGAGAGGGCCCTGGGAGAGGAGTGTGGTGCCTCCCTGATCCCGGGGAGTGGGGGTTAGGAGGGATGGTCAAGTGACTGAATGGTCAAGCTGAACTGAAGGATGGGAGTGGAAAGGTCAAGGAGGGAGGAAGGAGCTTCTGAGGAGCTTCAGGGGTGGGTCCAGGTAGGCTGTAGGCCTCCAGGGACAGTCAGGGCTTCCCAGGCTGCCACTGACCTTCCTGGGGTTCTGGTATGCCATCCTTGTCACTGAAGGCTGTGGCTTTGCCATGGCGGGTGTGGAGCGTGTGCTAAGTGGGTGGGAAGTTGGGGGCTGACTGGCTGTCCTCCCTGCCCCCAGACCCTGCCTGAGGTGATCCGTTCAGCAGGCTGCATCCCCTCTGGTACTGTCTGGGAGCTTTTGGCTAGCGTCTGCCCGGCAGAGGCCAAGGTAACTGGCATCCTTGGGCACCACCTTCTCCTCCTAGCTGGGGACCCCCAGCCCTGTGCTCCGTCTCTCTCCATGTCTGGAGCAGAGGCCTGGCTTAGGCTGTCTGGGTCTGGTTCCCCCTGTAATCATAGACACTCTGTGACCCTGGGCAAGTCCCTCACTTTCCTCCTCTGGAAAGGGGGAACACGCGTCCTCACAGGGTTGTCAGAGGTTTAGATGAGGGCGGGGTGTTCGCAGGAGGAAAGGATGGCTGCTCCAGAAGCCACCCTCCTTCCTGCAACTGCAGGACATCTGCGTGGCCAGACTGTGCCCGCACGGGGCTCGGGACACCCAGAACTGCCGTCTGCTCTATTCCTACCTCAACAACAAACAGCGCCACGGCCTGGCAGCTGTGGAGCACGTGGGCGTGGTTCTGCTGCCCCTACCCGCCTTCCAGCCCCTGCCCCCCAGACTGCGCCCTCTTGGAGGCCCCGGTGAGTGCCCCAGTACGCGAACCAGACCCTGACTCCCCTGCCCTGTGACCAGCGAGGGGGAGCGCTGTTGAAGGTCACCCTGGTGTCCACGGAGGAGGCAGGCTCAGCTCAGCTCAGCAGGGGACTCCTGAGACTGGCACATGCAGTGACCATCATAGCTCCACATTGCTTACTGGGTGCCAGGCAGTGTTCTAGAAGCTTCACTTTTATTAATTTATTGAGTCCTCAGAATCACCCCCATCAGAATGCTGATGTCGGTTTCTCCATTTCACAGATGAGGAAACTGAGGTAGGGAGAAAGCTGGTGACATGTCTGGAGTCAGGCGGCCAGTCAGGAGCAGGGTCAGGCCTCACAGCCAGGAGGCAGGGCTGCAGAGACTGGGCTGCTGACCACCACACGGACTGCCTCTTCAACTGGGCATCCGGATTAGAAACCCCTGGGGCGGCCACAAGGAAGGCAGACACAGTGGGACAGAGGCAGGACCCGCAGACAATCGAAAACCATCACCTAAGATGGGAAGGAGGGGGGTTTTCACCGCAGTGGTCCTAGGCCAAGGTTGGCCGTGGTGCACAGGGCGTGGCTCCAGCAAAGCCCCCGGGGTGGGGGTGGTGGTCAGGGGGTTGGCTGCCTCCATTTCCAAGCAGAACACTTGGCTTTTCTGGGCTGCCTGTCCTGGCGACAATGTGGCAGACTGAATCCATAGAGTCTTGAGGTCAAACCGTCCGTTGCCCTACCCTTCATCAGGGGAGTCCATTCCCGTGCCTGGGACAGCCTCACCCTCTTCTTACTGTTCCCAGCATCTCATGGGCCCCCGTCTCACTGCTCTCTTTGGGGCCTCCTCTCCAGACCTGCTGCTGCCACAGTGCAGCTTCTGGGGACGGTGTGTTCTCTCCTACCCGGCCCTTGGTTTCTCTGCTCCCTCTTTTCCCAGGCCTGGAAGCTGCTCACTCAAGCCTGGTCCTGGCTGTGCTGCTCCCCAAGGCAGGGCTTCCACACACAGCGGAGTCCAGCCCTTTGTGGGGGAAAGTTCGAAAGATGGTCTCCTTCAACAGAAAAGTGGAGAGGAGGAGCTATCAGCCAGAGGACAGGAGTCCCAGCGTGGCCTTGAAGGGCTCCCCTTGCCCAAAGGGTGCTCCACTGCCGAGCCAGGACGCGGGCAGCCTGGATCCAAAGGGAATTTGTGCTTGGCACAGGCCTTCCAGAGGCAGGGAGAGACTGTGGGGAGAGCCAGAGGACTGGCAGGGTCCTCGGCGAGGGCAGTGGTCCCCCAAACCAGGCTGGTGCCAGTCATGGCATCTCCATTCAGCAGTACCATCTGGCCCCAGCCAGCACCTCCACAGGGCCTCCTGTCCCCACCAGGCCCTGCTCCAGCATCTGGAATCCCTGGTGTCCATGAGCCACCAGCTCCAAGCCTCGCTGAGCTCCCCAGGCCAGGGGCTCTTTCCCCCAAACCCTGCCCAGCCCCCTGAAGCCCCTGGAATTCTTGGTCTATTTTGCCAGCCCCCTGCATCTCCAGAGCCCCCTGGCCAGGCTCCTGACTCTTTGGGTCCTACAGATGGAGCTGGTTCTGAGTGTACCCTCCCTAGAGAGACCTGACCCTCATTGCCAACCAGAAGAGAGGCCTTGATTCCCTCCCCAGGACTGAATCTTGAGCTGTTCCCGGAGAGAGGGAGGGGCAGAGGAAGCAGGGGAGGGTCAGCTCTTTGAGTTTCTTGTTCTGCGGTCTGTTTGGTGTTGATTTTTGGTTCAATAAAGAGTTTGGCAAAGGTGAGGTTGCCTCTGCTGGCTAATCAGGAGAGATCCGGGGCCGGGCCAGGGGTGGGTTGGGGTAGGTGTGTCTGTGACTTTCTGTGCACAGATGTAGCAGAGCTGAAGTGCTGGGGATGGAGGGGGCAGCCCTGCCAGTTGCTTGCCTTGAGCTCCTGAACCATCACTGCACCCCAGGGCACAGCTGTTGCTGTGGTGGGTTCTAAGCATTCTGCAAGTATTCTGAACTAGGAGGAAGAAGCCATGGGACAGAGGGCAGGACTAGGGTGGGGGAGACAGAAATGAGGCTTTTGCCAGGGCACAGACACTGAGAGATTGTTAGGGAGAAAAAGGAGAGCAAGTTGCAATGATTTTTAAAATTTTTCAGTCCCCCCCCCCATTTTTTTTCAGTTACCAGCAATTTTTTTCATTTGGCTAGTTGGGTACCACCATATTCCCTCTGTGTCTCTGCGTCCATGTGGATCTGTGAGTGTCTCTGTACGCATGGGCTTGTGAGCCTGTGTGTGCCTCTGTGTGCATGGATGTCTGAGTGTGTGTGTGTGTATGGGTGTCTGTTGAGTAAGTTAGGAGATCCATTTAGGATGACTCTTCTCTGTGTGTCTTGCCAGCTCCCAGAAACTGGTGCAGGAGAACACCACGGGTCTTGGCCTGGGAAGGGGTGGGCATTCAGGGCAGGCTGGGAAGCTCGTTGTGTTAGGGCCGGATGGTACTGCTTTGCCTGGGGCCTGGAGTGAGCTCCTAACAGCAGCTACAATTGTAAAGCATTTCAGTGTGGGGTGGACCCGGCAAGAACTGAGTCTGGGGACCCACCTGGAAACTAGCTGCCCCCTGGCTGCCTAACCCAGTGGGAAGAGAACTTCTGGCTGGACCGCTCCTCCCTCCTCACCCCGCCTGCCCGGTCCTAAAGGGGTGTATACCCCGTCCATCCCTCTGGAAGTCTACCTGTACACCCGCCTCGCTCTGGAGCGTGCTGTACTGGGAAGGATGGGGCATTGGTTGTTTGGGGGAGCCCCTCTTCTCTGCCCCACGAGCTCTGCTGCTGCCCTACCCGCGGCCGACAGCAGAGGGGGCCCTCGGCCTAGGGATGGAGGTCGGGGCTAGCAGGACCTGAGGACGAACTGGGGGCGGGGAGAGGTATGGAATTTTAGCCGGAGGGACAGGAAGAGGGGCCCGGAGTGTGGTGCGGGGGCAGGAGAAGGACGCGGAAAGGGGACTGGACAAGTGAATCAGGATTGAGAAAGCGGGGTTCCTTCGGTAACTTTACCGACTCCGACGTGCTAGTGAGCGCCACAGCCTCCGTTCTGTACGTAAATGACACAAATTACTATGCAACCTGCAGCCTGATCTGAGTCGGCAACTTGGGTCATTTTCCTAATGCAGTTGGGGCAGGTCAAGGGGAAGACGGCTGCGCACCCCTTCTCCCCAGGCCCAGGGCTTCCTCTCAGGAAGACAGGAGAGCGTATGCTGCCTTCTCAGGGCACTCAGGGAAGAGCAGGCTCTGTACTCTCGGCCGGGCGTTTCTTTCGGAGCTTCAGTTCCCCCCTCCCCCCTGCAAATGGGGGCGATGACTCGGCCTTCCAGCACCTCGCCCCGCGAAGAGGGCTAGAGGTGGACCGCGAAATCCTGCAGCGTGCTTGGAGGCTGGGGCTGGACAGTACGACCTCCACCCACGCTTTGGCCCTAGTCCACAAGCCTCTTCCTTCGCCTTTCTTGCGGCGGAGGAGGCCAGGAGCAAGGATTAGGCGAGCTGTTGCTAGGGGGCGTGACCGGAGGTTGCTGGGCTCGAGGGACGTTGCTAAGCAACGCTGGGCGGGGCTCAAGTTGCTAGGCCTGAGTAGGAGTCCCCGGGGACCGGAAAGGCCACCTAGCTCCCCTCGGCTTCAGTGCAAGGCGCGACTTTCTCCTGGCCTCAGCTTCCCCCGGGCTGGACGCAGTTTCCGAGGGTCCTTCCGGTTCACACCCTCCGAGACTCCGTGATCCTCTGGGCTCTGGAGCGAGGAACCCTGGGTCTTTGGGCACGTGTCTCTGCGCTTGCTTGAGCGGTAGAGGGGGGAGGGGGGCTCGCATTTGGGTTTCCATAGCAACCGCTCCTGTGTCGTCCCATTTCTCCCAAAGGTTTGAGCGGTAGCGTGTGGAAATTTGCATATATCTGCATGTCATTAACATAGAGGCGGGGCCGGAACTTGTTTGGGCAACTATCCCGGGACAGTTCCCTTTGCTTCTCTCTCATCCCGCCCGAGGGGCACGTGGGCCGCGCATGCGTGAGTGTTTCGCTTGTTAATGTTCCCAGAATTGGGGTGGGTGGGTGATCTGTAATAGTGACCTCCTGTTTTGGCCCTTTATTGAATCATTAGCATGAATTCGTCCAAGTACCCTTGACCAGCACCCCCACGCAATGCCAGGTCTGGTTGGGATCCCAATTCTGCCCTCTCCTGTCTGTGTGGCCTTGGGCAAGTTTAGTTCCCCTCTCTATGGCTCAGTTTCCTTCTTTGTAAATAAGGATACTAATCCTTAATTCACCAGATGATGTGAGGATTTGATGAGATGTCACTTTTATATCCACTTATGCGGCTTCTGGCACACAGCAGGCCCTTAGTAATGGCTTCTACCCTCCCTTCTTAGAATCCAGCTCCTCTCAGGACCCAACCAAAGCAAATTAACTTCCTTTGCAGCGCCAGACTTGACAACTAAACACCAGCAAGGACTTCCAGATGTCAGGATTCAAGGCACAGGATGAGGACTATTGGTTTGCCTGTTTGTCCTTGGAGGCTGGAGGCCAGGTTGGTGAAGCATGGCCCCCATCCCCCACCCATCACCACCCCCACACACTCATGCACGTCCTTACACCCCTTCCCCTCCAGCCTCCATTTGTTCTGTATAGCCTCTTCAAAACCTGGAATGTCCCTCCTGGGTCTGACTTCAGCCCTTCCTGCTCTGGCCTTCTTGCCTTCCTTTTTCCCAGAGTCCCCGTAACCTTAGCCTTGACTACTAGGGTCAGAGGGGAGGCAGAGGAGGTGGTAAAGGAGGAGAATCAGTTCCACTCTGTGTTGGTCCCTTCGTTCTCAATTAGGTTCACATAATTAAGATAAATGAGGTTGGCTCCTCTCCTGGGTAGATGAAGTTTGTTGGTGATGGAGAGGGAGGGTTGGAGCTGGATTCTGATTGGTTGATTGGCTTCCTGGAGGAGGTAGGAGTACATGGGGGCTATACCCTACAGTTGTCACTCTGACCGCTGGATGCAAGACTGCTGTCCGCCTGCGGATGGCAGTGGGCCAACTCCTTCCCTTGTAGCCACCTGTGCTCCACAGGTAAGGGTTCCAGGGACAGGCTGAGAGCCTGGCAGTGCCCGGCTGGCCCGCCTGTGTCCCACTCTGGGGGCCAATTAAGTCTCCATCCCTAGCCGCGCCGATTAACAGTTAATAAGGCAGCAAACACCTGCAGCTACGGAGGCGAATTAAGAGCAACAGTCGGCATAATACACAACCCGATAAGTGAGCAATTAACAACCAGAGAAAGATTAATAGAAGCAATTACGTCCTACTCGGAGTTCTGTAAATACGACTGTCAGTGGCTGAGGGATGCAGTCGAGTCCCGCCCAGCCCCACCCCAGGCCACAGCCTCTGCAGGGATGGGAGCCAGCCCAGCCAGCCTGTGGACTCCAGACCCCAGAGCCATATACACATGAGAAATGTACACATGTGCAAACACACACACATATATAGACATACATTTGCGGCAAGACAGTCCACATGGTCTAGTCACACAATACACAAGTCCCCTACTGTCATCCACACTCACAAAAAAATGTGTTCATGGAGATACATGGAAGTCCTGCCAGAAATACACATAGATCCAGAAAAATATCCCCAGAGTCACATAGAGACGCTTCCCTGTTTAACAGAGAGCTATAACCATACAGACTACGAGACATACAGTGGCACGTGCACAAATCTAGACATGTACGCAGACAGAGCTGTGTTCCCAGGGGGTCCCATGTGCACGTGGCACTTGCCCTCCTTTGATGCCCACCTTGCAAAAGGTCATCCCTGGAGAGCTGCAGCGGGGTATCAGACTGAGAACTGGAACCAGGGTGGGAAGGGACAGAACACTTGGGAACACACACGCAAGCATGTCTGCATGCATATAACTCGAGGCATGCATGTCCTCGTGACTCATGGGCATGAGCTTTTGTGGAAACAGGCACAAGCCTTCCATCTGTGTGCCCGTGTGAATGTTTGTGCGGCAAGATGGGTGCACAGGTGTGTGTCCCCGTGCCCGTGTTCAGTGGAGCTGGGACTACCATGTGGGTTTCTGGTTCACGTGTGAGCCTGTGCCACCCCTCATGACCGGCTAATCGGGTGACTACTTCCGAGTGGCTTTATGAGTGTCCTGTCTGTGTTGCGGCTGGTGAGGGGAGTCCCTGCAGGAGCTCCCCGGAGAGCCTGGGGGGTACCAGGTGCCGCCTCTAGGGAACAGGGCTCTAGGGCTCCTGGGGCAATGTGGTTTCCTTCACAGGGACTTCCGGCCCCTCTAGGGGGACTTGGCACAACTGCGCCTCACCCAGGCCGAGGGAGAGAGATGAGAATCATCAAGAAAGGGACCTGGAGGTTAATTTCTCCCTACCGAAAGCTGAGAATAGTTCCCTGCCCCTCTCCCACCTGTGTCTGGGGGCTTTCCATGGAAAACCTGCAGAGCCAAGACCCAAGCACCTCACTATGGTCTGTGACGTAGGTCGTCATACACAGAAACCCCAGACCACAAGGATCCAGCCATGCGGACAGACAAACCTGGACAGTCATGAATACAAACATAAAACTCCACTCACGGTCACACCCAGACCCAGCCATCCACGCGCAGTCTTGCCACACGCGAAATCACGTGCACATGGGCACACGTGCAGCGCTGCTCACACACACCTGCACTCCCACGTGCCCCTACGCCTGGCACTCTCTGAGACGAGCCCAGTGCTAAGCCTGAGGGCCCAGAGGGGCGTC